ATATCATCTAGAGAATAGTTCAGATTGTTGATTTTCCAGAAGAGGAAACCAGTCTAGAGAGATTAACTTTGTCCAAGAGCACAAAAGTCAAGAGTCTAACTCAATTCAGTTCTGTTGTGTTAGATCTTGGGACCTTTAAAATATTCATGTCAACCTTTTTTTAAATAATCCTCTATTTTATTTACAGATGCATATTGTATATGCTAAAATTTATATAGAGAGAAAAACTTAAGTCATGTCAATAAATTACTGTGGGTAGAATAGAAAAAAAGCTGGATATAAGTTCTAATGTGTATTCAATACTATCTATAAGATTTTACTTCACAAAACAATTTGAAGCAAATTGATTAACATTACTTACATGTGGGAGGTGGGACAAAAGTGTTTGTTATATCACTTTTAATTTTTTTCACATATTTAAATATTTTGTATAAAACATACAAAGATGATGAGATGGGAACTATGATAAAAATACAGGTATTCAGCAAACACTGTATCCATTTACCTATAAAACTTAACATTTAGCAACTCTGGATAATTATGATTACAAAGAAGAAATATAAAATCATAATTTTTGCAATGTAAATAGGACACCAAACAAATGGAATGTAACACTTAGGGAAATAAGAGGCTATTTGTATATGCATATGATAATCTTATCTTCCATAGTGAAGATTAAGATTCCTGAAGCAAACAGTTGAAAGTAAAGCAACTTCTTCAATTTTTTATTTTTGATTTTATAACTGCAGTATAATTTAGGAACTGATATTTCTTTTTTTTTCTTGTGTGCTTAATGTTTAACATTATGACATATAGCAAAAATGTACAGAACAATGTTCTCATGTAGTAAATACCTATGTAATCACCATGAAGGCCAACAAACAACATTACCAACAGGCCAGAAGCTTTCTTTGTACTCCCTTTCAACCTCTGTTCTACCTCCTTTTCAAGGCAATCACTACCCTGACTTTTGAGGCAATATATTCTTGTTTCTCTTAATTTGTCTGTCTCCTGGTGTGGGGAAAACTTTAGTATGTAAGTATCTTCTTGTGTCCAGCTTCTTTGGTTCAATATACTGTTTACAAGATTCATCATGTTACCCATAACTGTTGCTTGTCCACCATTTTTGACACATATAATAATGATTTGCCAGTCTGTGGCACCTCATTTTATGGAGTTCATCCTGCTTTAATGTTTGTAGGCAATATGACAAAATAATTTTGATGATGAAAATCCAGAGATAGATGGATTAATAATTGTCTGTAAATCATTTTAAATCAATGGTGACTATAAATTACTGTTTCATTCAAACATAGTATCAGATAATTCTGCATACATAGAACAGGCAAGTGGAAGCATGGCCTTCAAAGGGAGAGTAGATAGGTTATAATCCTGTGACTCACTTTACAATCTTCCCAGTCTCCCAGTCATGTTTTATTGTTCCTTTCTGCCTATGTCACTTTTGGGGGATTAGGCCAAACTGTTCCTTTTAGGATGTAGGATTTTTGGTGTCTTTAAGACCTTTGTGTTGCCGATGAAGAAAGAACTTCAAAACAATGTCATGTTGTGATCAAAGAAAACAATTACCTGCAATCTTGACTTAGCATTTTTCATTTTCATAAAAATATTAAGTAAATGACCCTCAATTATGAGGAGAGCCTGTGTTTTTAAAATTTCTTTTCACTCATTCACCATCTACTTTGATTACCAGCCATGTACCAATTATTTTATGAAGTCTGTGGATGCAGTGTCGCCCCCAGGGAGCTTAAAGAGTATAGGGTAAAGGCACATAAAAGCAAATTGTCAATACTTCACATGACAGATAAAATAGGAGCCCTAAAAGTCATTATAGAGGAGGCGGAGGATTAATTCAGGGAAGGATAAATGTGGTGAAAGTTGGAAGATGACTACAAGTATGTCAGGCATATTTGTGTTTGTGAGTGTGTGCAATATGAATGCAAAATAATATTCTGGAAAAAGTAAATATCATTTAAAAAGTACTGGAGGGGCAAGAGTATGATATCTTTCAGTAAATGCAAATGGTTTAGCATTGCTAAAGCCTAAAATGTGTTGTAATGAGTAGTGCAGAATAAGACTGGGCAGATTGGGAGAAGCATCATAAAAGGTCATTAACACTATGTTAAACAGGTTAACATTTATACTGGGTCAATGGAAAACCATTTAAGAATTAAGAGCAGGCAATGGCATAACCAATCTGAATGTTAGAAAAACCACTGTTGCCACGGTCTATAAGAAGGGATGGAGGGCAGGGAACCTCAAACCAGGAAGACCAGCAAAGAAGGAATATACTACAAATTCCAAGCAAGAGAAAGTTAGAGCCTAATGTTCTAAAGGAATCATGGTGATAATGTCAATGAAATAGAAAACGGAGGATAAATTTAAGAGATATTTCATAAGGAGAATCAACATGATTTAAAGATTGGATGGGAGGCCAGGAGGAAAAGAGATGGATGAAGGATGGTTCCCAGGACTCTGACAACAGACTGGTTGGTAATGCCATCCATTGTGATAGAGGATATGGGAAAAGGTTCACGTATGGAAAGGATGAACACCATGGCTTTGGACATTTTGAGTTGGAGGTTTAATGGGATTTCCAAACTGAAATATCCAGTAGTCATTTGGATAAATGGGATGAAATATCTGGTGTAGAGATATTGATTTAAAAGTCATTTGTATATAAATATTTAAAGCTGTGAGCAGTATGAGTTATCACAGAAGCATATCTATCAAAAAGAAAAGAAGGATTGGTAAGAACCCTAGAGAACACTTGTGATTTTGTTTGAGAAAAAGGAATTGTGTCATCAGAAGACATTGAGAAGAATTAGCCAAAGAGGATGGAGGAGTGAAAATAAGGACAGAATGTTTTTACCAAAACCAATGGAAGAATTTTTTTTTTTAATTTTTTATTGGATTATAGGTTTTGGGGTACATGAGCAGAGCATGCAAGACAGTTGCGTAGGTACACACATGGCAGTGTGCTTTGCTTTTCTTCTCCCCTTCACCCACATTTGGCATTTCTCCCCAGGCTACCCCAGTGTTTAGTACTCCCCTTTCTGTGTCCATGTGTTCTCATTTTTCATCACCCACCTATGAGTGAGAATATGTGGTGTTTCATTTTCTGTTCTTGTGTCAGTTTGCTGAGGATGATGTTCTCCAGATTCATCCATGTCCCTACAAACGACACAAACTCATCATTTCTGATTGCTGCATAATATTCCATGGTGTATATGTGCCACATTTTTCTAATCCAGTCTATTATCAATGGGCATTTGGGTTGATTCCAGGTCTTTGCTATTGTAAACAGTGCTGCAATGAACATTCGTGTACATGTGTCCTTATAGTAGAACGATTTATAGTCTTTTGGGTATATACCCAGTAATGGGATTGCTGGGTCAAATGGAATTTCTATTTCTAAGGCCTTGAGGAATCGCCACACTGTCTTCCACAATGGTTGAACTAATTTACACTCCCACCAACAGTGTAAAAGTGTTCCTTTTTCTCCACATCCTCTCCAGCATCTGTTGTCTCCAGATTTTTTTTTTTTTAATTTTTTATTGGATTATAGGTTTTGGGGTACATGAGCAGAGCATGCAAGACAGTTGCGTAGGTACACACATGGCAGTGTGCTTTCTTTTCTTCTCCCCTTCACCCACATTTGGCTTTTCTCCCCAGGCTATCCCTCCCCACCTCCCCCTCCCACTGGCCCTCCCCTTTTCCCCCCAATAGACCCCAGTGTTTAGTACTCCCCTTTCTGTGTCCATGTGTTCTCATTTTTCATCACCCACCTATGAGTGAGAATATGCGGTGTTTCATTTTCTGTTCTTGTGTCAGTTTGCTGAGGATGATGTTCTCCAGATTCATCCATGTCCCTACAAACGACACAAACTCATCATTTCTGATTGCTGCATAATATTCCATGGTGTATATGTGCCACATTTTTCCAATCCAGTCTATTATCAATGGGCATTTGGGTTGATTCCAGGTCTTTGCTATTGTAAACAGTGCTGCAATGAACATTCGTGTACATGTGTCCTTATAGTAGAAGGATTTATAGTCTTTTGGATATATACCCAGTAATGGGATTGCTGGGTCAAATGGAATTTCTATTTCTAAGGCCTTGAGGAATCGCCACACTGTCTTCCACAATGGTTGAACTAATTTACACTCCCACCAACAGTGTAAAAGTGTTCCTTTTTCTCCACGTCCTCTCCAGCATCTGTTGTCTCCAGATTTTTTAATGATCGCCATTCTAACTGGCGTGAGATGGTATCTCAATGTGGTTTTGATTTGCATCTCTCTGATGACCAGTGACGATGAGCATTTTTTCATATGATTGTTGGCCTCATATATGTCTTCTTTCGTAAAGTGTCTGTTCATATCCTTTGCCCACTTTTGAATGGGCTTGTTTGTTTTTTTCCTGTAAATCTGCTTGAGTTCTTTGTAAATTCTGGATATCAGCCCTTTGTCAGATGGGTAGACTGCGAAAATTTTTTCCCATTCTGAAGAATTTTTTTAAGGGAGTACTGCCAGTGGTATTATATGAAGCAAACAAGATTAGTAAAGACAGAAGTACCTGTTGGCTTCCCCAGTTTGGAGGTCAGAGACAGTTTTTCTGGGAACAGGTTCAGTATGGTGGTGGGACAAGGATACAGTTTGTACTGGGGTAAGGAGTGAAAGGGAGATGGAGAAGTAGAGACAGTCAACATAAGATTGCTATTTGGGAAATTTGGTGGTGTAGGAAGGTAAATGAGAGATAGCTAAATGGGGAACCAAATTGAAAGACTTTTTTTTAATGTCAATTTTAAATAAGATAGGTTTGAAAATATTTGAATATTCATATCAAAAAAGTTCATGGAAATGGATAATTTGAAGATGCAGAAAGTAGAAAATGATTAACTTACAGAGAATGAAGACAGGAATTCATAGAACAGGTATTTGTGTGAAATACAACTTACTCATTGTATTAGTTTATTCTTGCATTGTACAAAGATATACTTGAGATTGGGTAACATATAAAGGAAAAATCTTTAATTAGCTCACAGTTCTGCAGGATATACAGGAAGCTTAGAGCTTCTGCTTCTGGGGAATCCTCAGGAAAGTTACTATTATGTTAGAAAGTGATGGGGAAGAAGGCACATTTCACATGTCCTTAGAAGGAAGAATAGAGAAAGCAGGGAGGTGCTTTATACTTTTAAACAACCAGATCTCAGAAGAACAGCATGAGGAGGATGGTGCTAAACCATTCATGAGAAACCACCCCCATGATCCAATCACCTCCCACCAGGCCTCACCTCCAACATTGAAGATCCCATTTCAACATGAGATTTGGGTGAGGACACAGATCTAAACCATATCACTTATTACAAACCAAAATGTACATTGCATAGTTAAAAATTTTTTCTAATTAAAAAAAATGTATTTGGAGTAACTGAATTGCTTTGGGAGCTATTGCATAAAATACTATTAAAAACAGCGATTTATTGCAAATTTCAAGTGCTTTTTTTTAATCAGGGGAAAATTGGTAGATACAATGTGAGCCTTCGATCTAGAAAAATCTTCTCTCAGTTCTACATAGTATTTGACACATGATTTCTTAAGGAACATCATATTTAAAAATATATATATTATAAATAAATATGTTATATATACATACATGTATCTGCCATATCTATGTATATCTTGTATATTACCAATATTATGTATTAAATATATGTTATATATATATAACTAATATATATATAGTGTGTATCCTGCAGAAGATATTTTTAAAAAAACTAAATTCTGTGGGAATTGGTAATGCTTCTTATTAAATAGAGCTGGCCCACTCCCAAGTTCAATGTAGTGTTCATTATTCACAATAGTCAAGATATGGAATCAACCTAAGTGTCCATCAGTGGATGGATGAATGGATAAATGTGGTAAATATCTGCAATATCTACTATATAGCCTTAATACAGAAGGAAATTCTGTCATATGTAACAACGTGGATGAACTTGAAGGACATCATGTTAAGTGAAATAAGCCAGGCACAGAAAGGCAAACACTACCTGATCTCACATATGGAATCTGAAAAAGTTGAATTTATAGAAACTGGAAGTTTCTATAAACTCTCAGTGGTTTATAGAACCAGTGAGAATAGGACAGTAGTTACAAAGGACTGGGGAAGAGATTGGGGAGATGTTGGTCTAAGGATACATTTCAGTTAGAAAGGAGGAATAAGTTCAACAGCTCTATTGTACATCATAGTAACTATAGTTAATAACAGTATATTATATTCTTGAAAATTGATAAGGGAGTAGATATTAGGTATTCATTATAATAAGTATATGAAGTAATGTATATGATAATGATCTCAATTTAACTATTCCACAATGTATACGTATTTCAAAACAACATGTACATAATATAAAATTTATATTTGTCAAATAATAAAGACAAAGTTGAACTCATAGAAGCAGAGAGTAGGACAGTGGTTGTAAGGGATGGGCAGAGGGGAGGAATTGGGAGATATTGGCCAAAGGATACAAAATTTCAATTAGGAAGAGTAATTTTTGGAGATCTATTGGTGACTATAGTTACTAAAAATGTATACTTGAAAATTGCTAAGAGAGTAACTCCTAAATGTTCTCATCACAAAAAAAACAAGTATGTGAGGCAATATATGCTAATTAGCTTGACTTAATCATATAACAATGTATACATATATCAAAACATCACATTGTACACTATAAACATATGCAATTTTTATTTGTCAATGAAACCCTAGTAAAGTAGGGAAATGGAGAGATTGGAAGCCCCCTACATATCTAACTCATGATTTAAACTAGTATGATTTACCATCAGAAGAACAACTTGAATTGTTATCCATAGACCACACTGGTTTAGTAAAAAGTGCTACGGTTTGGTTTACATGACAGTGAGATAGTTAATTTGAAGTGTCAACTTGACTGGATTAAGGAATATGTAGAAACCTGATAAAGCACTATTTTGGGACGTTTCTGTGAGACTGTTTCCAGAGAAGATTAGCATTAGTAGACTGGGTGTGGAAGATCTGCCCTCAATGCAGGCAGGCACCTTGTAATCTGCTAGCAGCCAAGAGAGAACAACAACAGAGACAAGGTGAATATGTTGATGTATGTGCTGGAGCTGGGGTATACTCTTCCTCTCTTGTCCTTGGACAACAACTCCAGGCTCCCTAGCTTTTGGACTTACACTATTCCTCATCCCCCTCTCCACTCCTCTTCTCAGACTTTTGGCCACAGAGTAGAGTTACACCATTGGCTCCCATGGTTCTGAAGCCTTCAGATTGGGCTGAGCCTTGTTACCAGCATCCCAAGGTCTGTGGCTTGCAGATGACATGTCATGGAACTTCTCAGCCTCCATAATCATGTGTGCCAATTTGTTTAGTAGATCCTCTCCCATATATCTATATCTGTGTATATCTTTATCTTTATATACCCTATTGGTTCTGTCTCTCTGAAGAAACTTAATACATGTGGGTAACATCAGACTCTCTTAAAAATATAAAAGGTTTTTTTCAAAGAAATACCTTGGGATAATGAACATGGCTATGTGTTCAGGCATATGACACCACCATGGGGCAGATCTCCCAGGGCACCATTCATATGGAATACATTGGAGCTGCATAACTTGATAACCCTGCCAGTGTAGGCTCAAAGTCCAAAAAATTCAGGTTTACCTAAACAAGGAACAAAAATCTGATTCAGGAACCAAGATCTGAGCCTTGAGCAAGAACAGACATACTTTACAAGACTTTTATTTTGGTTATTGAGAGATTGCAATAAACATCAGAAGCAAATCAAGGGAAACTTCATTCATACTGTAGATTTTTGGGTCTTGGAGTTTTGTAGAATTTTCTAACAGAAGTGCCTTTTATAACAAAATGTATAGTTCAAATATTTTCTTGTTTGTGAAAAGTCACTTTATCTTTCTGATCCTCTGATTCTCTATTTAATTTTCACCAATTACTCTCAGAAGCTTAAGGGCAGTGTTCTATTTGGAGAACATTCTAGGCTAGAATCAGTAACTACAATTAGAACCCATAGGAGAAATAAATGAAGACAGGGCTTTCAGGGCTCTTATGTCCTTATACTCATTCACTCATTCATTCAAACAAGTACTTTTGAACAAATGTTATGTGGCAGGCAGTGTGCTATGTCCTGACCATGAGCCTAATGAAGAAACTAAGAGTAGGCTAATGGTACAAGGAATTAAACACATGCTGAGGGAGAAGGCATCATGTAGAGCAAGAAATGCAGTCACACCACTGAATGAGGCATCAGTGTTGTTCTCTGAAGCTGCATTTTAAAAAACTATAATTTGGAAGATCCAAATGTGTTGAAAATTGTCCTTAGAAGCTATTTTAACTTTACACAGATGTGGCACTTTTATAACAGGAAAATGCTCATATTTTCAGCTCAAGTTCTTAAGTCGGGAAAACATGGCAGATGCTTCTGATAAGCATAAGAGATTGACTTGAACTGAATTTTTAATTAAAATTACCAAAAGTCCCGGTGAAATGATTTCCCATGACTGCCCAAGTCCATGATAAGTTCTGCTCACCTCTGAGGAAAGAAATCGTGTTATATTCACATCAAAAGCACAAGAAAAATACAAGGTAATCAGTTATGGATGGATTATGTCATAAAGTTTTCTTGAACAACACAATGAAATTACAATTTTCATTTCACTTTTGCCAGTTGCAGATCAATTAATTCATAAAGATACTGAAGTAAATAAATTAACAATAATGTAAAATTCTGAGAACTGTGTAACACATTGATATATTAACATTTCTGTAGAAAGTACTGCCTATGCTTAATGATACCTGTTATTGCATTTTTGATATAGCAACTGCCCCTTAAATAAAGATGATCTGACAGCACAACTGACTAACTTATATTTAAATCTAGACTTTAACATTATTTTTGAGTAAACAAATTAGGAAAGCAGCAAAGATTCTCTTCTCATATGCCATATGCCAACATAATTTCAAGTATAATCAATGTTAACTCTGGAAATGTTTGTTCCTTAAAAAGATGGCTATTGAGAAGACTGACATGTTAAATAAAGTTGAAATTTAATAGAAACTTAATTAGCAAGTATTGTGAAATTCTTTTTATAAACAATGCCATCTTAGGTACTTTGGGAGATAAAAAGATGAATTAGACAGGATTGTGACTCATCCAGAGCTCACAATACACAGTGGGAAACAGCTGTGATAAGTGCTTTAATAGCTGAATAAACAATATCAAGGCTGAAAGTATTACAGGGAGTGGAGTAATTAATTCCAGTTGGGACACTTTTTTTTTCAGAGTCTTACTTTGTCACGGAGGCTTGAGGGGAATGCAGCAGACTGATCTTGGCTCACTACAACCTCTGCTTTCTAGGTTTAAGTGATTCTCCTGCCTCAGCCTCCTGAAGAGGTAGAATTGCAGGCAGATGTCACTACGCCCAGTTAATTTTTGTATTTTTAGTAGGGATGTGGTTTCACCATGTTGCCCAGGCTGGTCTTGAACTCTTGGCCTCAGGTAGCCCGCCTGCCTCAACTTCCCAAAATGCTGAGATTGTAGGCGTGAGCCACCACACCTGGCCAGGAACACCTTTTAAGTGATGTACGTCAGGTGAAGCATTAGGTACCAGAGGACAATAGTACAAACATACAATGTGGCCCTTTCCTTTGGGGAACTTATCTTCCTGAAAACATAAGATATACATAAAGTGTATGTTGACGTTTATACACATATATATGTACACAAAATAGTATCAAATACACAATTGCATGCAAAAGAAAAAAGTCTTGGATCAGAATGTACAGGCTCTGAGAATTCAGTAGAAGGAGAAGTTGGTATCAACGTGAGAGATTAAGTGACATCTTGGAGAAGGTAGATCATAAGATGGGAGAGGATGTGCTGGAAATATTTGCAAAAGTAGCAGAAGGTAAAACTTGAAATGATGAAAAAATGAAAGACGGAAGAACTGACTATAGCCTATTCCATGAACTACAGAAACTGACCGTCTTCTTTGGGGAAGCTTGGAAGAACTAATTGGTTCCGTTAAGGGTAGGATGGGGGTGTTTCTGTGAATGCCAAGACAAGGAATCTGGACTTGACCTGATAGGAACAGGAAATTCCTGTAAATTGTCAAGCAGCCTAGTGATACATGAAAGCAGCTAGAAAGATTAGGCTTGTGATTATTGCTTTTTGGGGGGAATTGTTTTATATAAAATTTCTCTAAACAGTTTAGAATCTCTAAAGCTTTAGACAGATGTACAATGAATGTTATTACATCAGACACATACCTCTGTATGTGAACTAATGAGTGTGTATACAACCCTAACACTTGTGAAAGTGTTCTATAAAATCTTATAAGTAAAACTTAAAAGAAATCATTTAGTTGGCCTGCTCTACCATAAAGGCACAGATGAAAAACAGAGATAATGGATTAACATTTAGTAAAACAATGTCAGAGAAACCAAAGTGAAAATGCTCCATAGGCCTATCACAGATATTTTAAGAACCTTCAGAAGGTATCCTGAAGTTAAAAAAGAAAAAGGAAATTTACCTTTTGTAAGAATTTTTTTTTTAAAGGGAAATATCTTCAAAAGTTACAAACTGGTCATGACACCTTCAATACCTGAGAAGAGATAGACCCAACAGGTTTCCAGCAACCATTTAATGTAGGTAGTAATCTACATGACCTTATAAAGGGAATATCAGAGCAGACCAGTTCAATTTCCACCCAAAACCGAGTAATAGACCTTAGTGATAAGGAGGCCATAATGTGGCTGAATTTTTGTAATTTTTTTTAATCCCTTTACTTTAAATGTAAGACTTTAGGATCTGCTTCAGCTGGCATTCTTTTTAAGAACCTACACAGATGCAGCCTGGGGGTGTCATGTGTGGACACAGATGATGAGGATTTATATCCAGATATTATTTACTGTTTAAGGGTGTCTCACCATTAATGTGAGCTACAGAAACATTTGTCTGTAGCTGATAAGCTCACTGGTCCAAGGTATGTGCTAATGGCATCAAACTAACAGAAATGCCTTCCAAGTGGACTCACATGCTCCTGGTGTCAGCTGGGCTCACTCCTTCCTATTGACTCACAATGCATGTTTTTGTAGCTAGAAGAACCTGACAAGAAAAAAACAAGATAAATTTGTCATCACCACTAGAAGGAAAAAAAATTCATAAATTCTGCTTAAGCAAAAGTTTATACCTATAGATGAGTCTGGCAAACAGTTGACTCGTTCAAAATATCTACCACTTCAAGAAAGCTGATGATTTAACTGACTTGATCTTTTTTGTGTTCACTTGGTTAGTCAAACAAAAAAAATTTACCCTTGAAGCCAAGAATATCTGTGTGAGAATGTGTGACAGTTGGGGAACCAAAAATCATTCGCAGTGGTACCTGCATAAAGTGTCTTCACTTACTCTATGACTGAAGTACCCACTGCTCACTTTAACCAAGGATAAATTCTTTCCAACACCCCATGGTTCCTTCCCAGTCTATTCTTCTCAAGGCCCTGTCAATTCCCATAGCATCCTCCCAGCCAATGCCCACATATCCATTCAAGATATTAAGTTTAGGTCCACCAATATCAATAAGCCTTAGAGATCATCGAGAAACATGCTATCTGAAAAGTCCTTTTCAATATCAGAAAATGAAATTATTCTCAGATCTCTGGCCCCATCATCTTTATAATGCTCAGTCTGGGGTTCTTTGCCTCTCTCAGAACATGGTACTCAACCTTGAGTTCCTGAGTCAGGGAAGGATGATACACATGATCTGTGCTAGTGCAGCTGTGCTTGTTGAGAATTCCACCCAGCCCAGCCTCTCTTTTGAATGTGTGCTAAGTCTGGGCAAAATACAAAAGCAGAATATAAAAGATTTTCTTTAAAAATCTTCATTCAATTTTTGACTTCCCAATGCTGCTTATATTTCTTCTAACATTAGTTACTTGTAGGAATTCCCTGGTACACCTTCTGTCTGACCATATCCTAATTTTTTTTTTTTTTTTTTTTTTTTTTTGGTAGAGATGGGATATCACTGTGTGCCTAGGCTGGTCTCCATCTGCTGGCCTGAAGTGATACTTCTGCCTTGGCCTCCCAGAGTGCTGGGATAACAGGCATGAGCCACTGTGCCTGGCTCAAATTTGCTAAAATATTAATTCTAATCATTAAGAATATTCAAGTTATCTAAAATAGCTATTAAACACTCAGAGACTTTTTTAACTCATTTCTCTAACTTTTATGAAGGCCACTTAAAATCCAGCATTCCTTCTCTGCTAACCAAAGTCTATAACTCATTTTATTTTTAATATAATGTTAGAAGATATAAGATAGCTGTGTGCCAAATCAATTCTACTGAAAGTTTTTTAAATGATTTGGTAAAAGATTCACATAGTCAAGTGACACAGTGATTTCTTTTGATCTTATTTTGCCATAGGGGTCTTTAGACATGACATGCAATTTTATAAAGAAAGCTAGCCATCAGGTTAGGGATCCATTTGTATAGAAAGACTCATATCCCTCGGCCTCTACTTACACAATGTTCAAATTGCATTATGTTTATTGAGATTTTCTTTCATGGAATCCAGATAAATCTTACTTGATGCCTTTTCAAAGAATTGCATATCAGAGAATTTCCAGTAACCTTCTGGCATTTCAAAATTGCATATTCCCTGGATAACAACTTTATTTGAGTAATTGTAAAGTTTCAATGTTTCTAAAGATGTATCTAATGCTGAAAGATATATGTGTGAAGTATTATTGGCTGCCTGGATTTCTTAAAAACTCTGTACATTCTTTTTTCATACTTGACCTTGTTGGTCACTCTTGGTAAGCTTATATTTTCAAACTGGTTGACATACATTAAACCTACCACACTCGGAGTTTAAATCATTTAAAACATATGATATTCACAGTACAATGTTTCTTAACTGAAATAATGTTAATAATTTTATCTAAAACCTTTCTTCTTAGTAGCATAAATAATTTCATGAGTTTTACCAATAATCAAATATTTTATTAAATTATGAAATGGCATATCATATAAATATTTTCACAATTAGAATAATTCTCTACTATGTTTACACAATCTCTTTCATTTTCTTTATTAATAAAGAGCAATTCAGTCCTCACTGAAGCTCAACTTTGGCTTTAATTAAAACACAAAAAGCTTAGCTTATTATTAAGAATTAACCTAGGTTTTTCCCAGTGCTTGAAAATTTTTCTTATTGTAAATTACCTCAGAAGGTCTTTCAACTAAAGCAATACTTACCAAAGAGTATTCTGTTAGGGTGCCTTGTTGGAGTTTCCATAAGTAATTGTACTAAGAGCCAGTAAGTGAGGTTGAGACGGGAGAAATGGTTAGATTTTTTAATCCCTTTACTTTACTTTCTTTTTATCTTATTGCCACTGTTGTTCAGATTCCTAATAAGTATGGTACTTTCAGCCCTAGCTCAGAGGGTATCTAGAAGTGGTCCAAGGAATTCAGTCAACATGCTACCTGTTCTCCTGGGATAGTATTTCATGAGAAAAACAGCAAATTCTAGTCTTAGTGAGATATTTCCAGGAAAGCCTAAGATGACCATTCATCTGGGCTTCCAGGACAAGCACTGTTTAAAACCTGCAACTTCTTCAGTCCTCTGGGCCAGCCATGCCTGTTACCTGTGGTCAACTACAACCCAGCATATAAACCTCTCCAGTCCTTCATTTTTCCTGGGCTTCTGTCCCCACACAAAATGTCCTGAACCACCTTCCTCCTAACTTCTTCCATTTTGAACTGACCGCTGTTCCTGCAACCTTCCACACTGTCACTCTCTTCACTGAGCATCTCTCCATCTCCTGAGCTTGATGGATGCCTGCTGGGCCTCTGATTCCATAGCTTCCCCAACAGCCCAGTCCAGGGAAAGCTGCTTATTCTCTCTCACCCTCTGTGCCATTGGATTAAATGATGTGGTTGGCAGGCCAGGCGCAGTGGCTCATGCCTATAATCCCAGCACTTTGGGAGGCCGAGGTGGGTGGATCATGAAGTCAAGAGATCGAGACCATCCTGGTCAACAAGGTGAAACACCGTCTCCACTAAAAATACAAAAATTAGCTGGGCATGGTGGTGCGTGCCTGTAGTCCCAGCTACTCAGGAGGCTGAGGCAGGAGAATTGCTTGAACCCAGGAGGCGGAGGTTGCAGTGAGCCGAGATTGTGCCATTGCACCCCAGTCTGGGTAACAACAGCGAAACTTTGTCTAAAAAAAAAAAAAAAAATGTGGTTGGCATTTTTCCCCTTTCCCAAAGTGGTTTTCCAGGGCATATTCTACCATCACTGGATGAATATCTCTTTTGGGGATATACGGTGTCCACCTTTACTTCTCTCTACCTCAGTTATCACTACTATAAACCTACATATTGAAGAATTCAGAAGACAGTGCATTTTTTTTTCACACCCTGGCAACTGCCATCATCTTAAGTGACTTCACATCTGGGCAGGTGATCCATAAAAAGGAGAGCTTATAGGGTCTTGGCTTCCCTGACTCCCATCACCTTCTCTATCCCACTTCAGGCAACCCAGCGCTCAGCCACATCACAATATTGAGTAACCCAATCCTCCTGAATTTATAAAATCATAAATGAAATAACTGATTCTAACTCTAAGCCTTAGCTGCTAATTACATGCAATGTATAATCATTTTATTCTGTAATAATCATGTTATGTTACAGGGTTACTGTGAAGGTTAGTCAGAAATAAGAAAATGAAGAGCTGGGAATAGTGACTGAAAGGATTTGAAAGGGGAGACTAGTAGCAAAGAGATCAGTGGAAACTTCATTTTATTTGGAAGGAAGAGGTTCCTGGAAGCCTGGATAGAGGCAGTAGCACCATGGGTAAAGAATGTTAGTTTCCAGAGACACGAGTGAAATAAAATTGGGAGGATTTAATAACCTCTTGGATTTAGAGAGGAGCAAGGAGTAGAGGCTGACTCCAAAGCGGCTAGCTTGGAAGACTAATTGTATTGTAGCTCTGTTAATGCATCGGGAAGGTGGAGCAGATAAATGATACATTTCAGGTATTATTAAGTCAATCTGTAAAAGAAAAAAAACAAGGTAGATATGTGTGTTTGGAATTCAGAAGACTAGCCAGAGTAAAACATAAAGCTGTGAAATCATTAGCATATAAATGTTATTGAAGTTATGATCATAGATGAAGTTACCCAGGGAGAGGAATGTGTCGAATTAGGAAAAGAAAGGATAACTCTCTGAAGGACCCCAACATCATAGGCATGGCTAGGAGACACAGAGTCAATCACAGGACCAGAGAAGGAAGTAATGGTTACAAATGAAAATGATTTAAATGATGATAATAGCTATCATGTATTGGGTGCTTATTATTACCAAGTAGTTTTGCCACACATTTTATATGCATTATAGCACAGGGGTTTAAAGCACACATAGTGCTTGGTTTCAAATTACAAATTATACCATTTACTAGCTATTGCCATTACTGAGTTACTTAAGCACTCTGTGCTGCTATGGCTTGTGGGTAATAAAAATGCCAAACTTATAGAGTTGGCTTGAAGCCTAAAATAGTTAATGGATAATTTAAGGCAGTGTCTGGCTCATAGAAAGTCCTATATAAGGGTTAACAGTTATTTTTACTATTCAAATTGTAATTTCACAATAACTCAAGGATAAAGCATAATTTTTATCCCTATTTTCAAATTGGGGAAACTGAGATTCAAAAAGTTTACTTATACCAAGTATCAGAGTTTATATTTGAAAGGGATCTACCTAACTAGAGAGTCCCAAGTATTTAGTGAGCAGGAAAGGATGTTGCAGAAAACAAAAAAGCAAATAGTTTTAAGAAGCAGAGAGTGACTAAAAGACCTAAATGCAATGAATTTGTCATGAAAAATAATCCATAAAGCATTTTTTTAATTCATCTTGTCTAACAGTAGCAATAAAGATTCGATGAGGATAGCATGATGTCAGAGTTGGTCAGTAACAAGGAACTGTTACCACCTGGAAATTGAGCTACCAGGAGTCTGTTTACACGCCTGCCCTGAGCTCCGTACCAAGGACTCCCATGTGCAAACTTGTCCATCACCCAAGAGTCACTGTGCACAGAAGAGCTTACATA